AATATATATTATATTGTGACGGTTGGGAAATAAATAGTTATGCTGTGCTATAATGTTCTGTTTCTCTCGCGGTTCTTGGTGCCTTGAACGCACCATAAAGTAGTGCACCTGCGCAGTGTGTTCTGTTCCGTGTCAGTGGAGCAAACCGGCGGCTAGAAGTCTGTGACAGATAGCTGAAGTTCTGCTCCGAGTGGTTTGGAGTAAACTGTGGCCAACATCAGTGCTGAGTTAAGATGAAAATAAACCGCTTTCTAATAAAATAAAAGCTGCCTCTGTCTTATTCTGCTAGCGGTGCTAACTGCAACACAAACCCAGGATTCTGTTCCTTTCTGAGGGAACAACGGTCACCTGGACTCACATTATCACTTTAATTATTCATCCTTCAGTTTTAGTCATTTCTCCTTCAGACAACAGTTACAGTATATATTCAATTTCTTGGAGATACTCACTCGGTAGTTTTGAACATTTATTCATGTTCGTTTTATATGTCAGTTATGCTTTACAATAATACGCTGTTGTTCTTTACTTTTACTATGTAAACTACAACTAACAACGTAACTGAAGAAATAACACGAACCACTGTCGGCTTTCATTAAAAAACACCATCTTAATGAAAAACGAGTATTATAGACACCTGTTTAACATTATTTTCTCGTTAATAATTACTTCTTAAGTCAGCAGTGCCACTTCCAAATTAATATCTGTGCTGTTTTCGTAAAGTAGCGGTTATCTTACTTGTGTTTTGTTCTTACCTTTTAAACTTGTTTCTTGGTTCTTATAACGACAACTTAACGAATGACAAATATTTCTTATGCTTTGAACTAACATGATATAACACCACAGCAGTAGAAGATCGTATACTAAATTTTTGGCCAATTCCAAACAACGCAGAACTACATCCGGTTCTCTTCCGGAAGTTATGGAAATGACAAAAATAAAAGCATACATAGATATCAATTAATGAAAACATCTTAATGTGTAGGTTCCCCGAATGTACTTTTTGTGACATGTCACTGACGTCTTTGTGTCCGTTAGATGTGGTTAATAGAATCCCAGCTCTGGCATAAACAATGACGGAGAATGAAGGGGGAGGAATAACAACAAGTTTGTAGGAGAATTTCAGAAATACTTTGAGTTGAATGACAACGGAGAGGCTTCTCCATCCATATTCTGGGATGACTGTGAAGTAGTATTGACAGGAAGGGAGGTCACAGTGACTTCCTTTCTTATGAATCAAAGAGTGAAAAAATGAACAAAGATTCTGAAGTGAACAAACTAAAATCTGAACATAAAGAATCAACAGACTCTAAGGTTTAAATAGAAATAATAATAATCCACATGGAATTCAAAACAACTTGAAATACACAATGAGAAAATAAAACAAATAAGGGAGTACGTGTTCAAAACTGTTAGCATTTTATATATAAATAAATATAAATATAAAAGATACGGGCCCTACAACCTAAGAACATTTACCACCAAACAAAGGATGTACTGTATATATCGTGAAAACATATATTGACAACCTCAAGTCAATACCAACCAGAAAATGTGAAGTCACTCCTGAAATCCTGAAATTAAACTTACAGAAGACAATTTAAAAAAGAATAAATTACCTCAGAAATGAAAAAAAAAAATAAACAAAATGTGATTCATTTTATTTTATCTCCAATACAATTTTCTGAGGTTTCGCTAGCGCTCCCTAGCGGCCACAGATGGTGTTAGTGGCATGATATCGGACCATCTTTTCTGCCTTTAAGTACAATTATTTGGGGAGAGGGGTAAATAAATAAAGTTGTTTTAAATAATTCTGATGAACTGATCAACTTTGCTTCACGTTTAAACACGTGACGTCACAGTGACGTCTCCCACCGTGACTTGTTGATGCTCAAAATATTAAATAAAAAAACAACATACATAATCTAAATATATATCTTACAATAGCTGGAGAATATGCTAGTGCTGTGTTGACTCCGCCTCCACTTGCTTACGTAACTAAAGACGTACACGTGTAATGTTCCGTAGGTTTTTATTTGGGTTTTATTTAGGAATGTTTCTTTTTACAAATGTTTATTCGTGTCATAACTACTGCGCTTTGGTTTTTTACACTTTGTAAAACAACGATTTATTCCACATGATATCTTTAATAGAGGATTAGCATAAACGGGTCACCACCCAAAGTTGTAGCAGGTGGCTAACAACAACAAAGTGATCTTTTTACCAATGGAAGCAAATCGTGTTTTAAATTCAAGTCCCTACCTGGTAGTTATAGGTTGTGGCCACTAGGGGGAGGCGTTGATCAGATTATATTGCATATCTGGTGTGTGTGTGGTTCTAAAACAGAAATGAATCAGAATAACATATAATGACTGAAATACAAACAGTAAACAACACACAGTGACTAATGTGGCCGATCGTCAACATTAGCATTAGCATGCTTATTAACTACTGAGAAATAAAAATAACCTGCAGCTATGAAACAATAGAAACATCAGATAAGCACAGACTTCTTACTTACTGAGTTCTGAACGGACACACTCTAAAAATAACCACCGCGATTCTTATATAACTCAGCGAACTTTACTACGGACACCGCTCACGGCTAGACCAACTCACTGACGACGAACACTCCAGCAGCAGCTCCTCCTCACTGCACCGAGTGCCTCTGCAGGTGTCCACATCTGACAGCAGGGGGCACTGTTCGCCATTAAAATCAAAACGGCATCTGGCAACACATTATTTTTCTTTATTCAGAGTAAGATGTGTCAACATCCAGCATGACAAAAATTGTACAAAGTTCACAATTTATAAATTAAACATCACAGCAACTTGTGATCCCACACATTTATAGCAAAATTAAAATGTCAACAAATCCATGCCGTGTAGTACAAAAATAAATCAAACTTCAGTTCCACAGAGAGCACAAGAGTTTTTACAAAATCCAGTCTTTGTTAACGGTCCCTCAAATCAACCTCCAAAGGAATTGGCTCAAATAAAATAATCAATTCAGATTCATTTACAATAATTCATAGTCAGCATTCTAAATACTTGACAACCTCCTTGTGTTCCTTATAGATAGTCACAGATCCCTCTTTTTTTAGCTCTGGTACCGTTTTGAAGTACCGACATCAGACGAGCAGCCAGTTTGTGCTTTGAAACCCCTCTGCCATTGTTACTGATTATGACGATTCATTGAAAACTGCACTAGCTATTACTCTACCGAAGCATTACTATATTGGCAAAAAGCTGCAAACACGATGCTGTGGAAAAAGGCGAATGCAGTCATGAATGATGGGTAGTAGAGTCCTGGAAGAGGACAGAAGGTACGACAGATGAGATTCAGTCAGGTGAACAACCAGCACCTTTTGCATTAGCTCTCAAAAAGGCCAATTCTGAACATGATGGCTAACAACTAGGACAATAGAACAGAGGGGTGCATACAGTCAGGCATACAGGCTGGATTGTATCACCCCACGAAGGTCACATTTCACCTGACCTTCAGTTTCTTCATCTTTAAAAAAAAAAAAAAAAAACTTTGATTGATTGACTATTTTACTCCTTTGTACAGTGATTAGATATAAAGTGCTGCTGGGGGGTGGGGTGGGGTGGGGTGGGGGGGTAACATGGTCTTCCTAAAACATATCAAAAATGAAAGACCATTATTAATGTTTGACATAATAGCCTACAGTATAACTGCTATGGTTCTAATCATCCTTCTCTCTGATTTCAAGTCCCTGTTCTTCCTCCCTCCCTGGTACTGAGTCCACACCCGCAGTGGCTCCGAGCAGTCGGTCGCTCCGATCGTGCGCCAAAGAGGTCGCCGGGAAAATTGCACGCCGCCGTACACCAGGATAATATCTTCAAGGACAAGTGCAAATAGTCTAGTGGCACATAAGTGGGGACAGTGACCCTGTAAGTCCCGCTGTCATACTCTATAAATACTCTTTACAAAACCCCTGGGAAACCCTCCTTTTAGGTGCTGGAGTACTGCTTTTAGTTCCTGTGAGAACATCAAAACATGGAAACCAAGGTGTCCCTGTGCAAAATCCTACAGAAAAAAAGTGGAACTCATATACTTTCCCTTCTGAATCACAATGTCCAGGTTCCCTCCTACTTTTTCTTTTTTTTTTTTTTTTTTGATTATTATTTTTAAAGATTTTTGTATTAAAAGATTTGTATAAAAAATCCATATTTGACATAGATTCTATTAAAAAGATTCCTGTTTCCCCACTATGCTTATAAAGAAGAAATTGCATATACCCAACCTTTTTATTCCTTTGCAGATTGCCTCCTGTACCGACTATAAACACATGATTTCATGATTATATTGCTGAGACATTTCTCTTCTAAGCAACACCAGTCTGGAGATTGAGCAGATTTGATTCTAGAAAAGCCAGAACGCGGTCATTGTCTCTACACACTGTGGTTTTTCTGTTGGACATTAGTCAAGGATGAGCATGTCGACATGCACTGATGTGTTCCTCAGTGAACGAATGACTAGGAAACAGCTGTCCTAGATGGGGGGGAGGGGGGTCGCGGGGGGATGATGTTTACTATATCACTGATCAGACATATATTCATACATACATCTGCTCAGAATCCTTTCTGAAGTCATTTACAGCACCAGGTACAAATGCTGCCCCCTACAGGTACACATCGTGTTTTTGTTTTTTGTTTTTTTTTCCCCATCAAAAAAACAAAAACAGAACAAAAAGAAAAAAACATTTCTGGAGAAGAATATAAAGCAGTTCGCAAACCAGTTCTTGTTCCGGAACATTCCACACACAAGAAGAAGAAGAAAAAAGAGGAAGAAGAAAGAAAGATGTGAAATTATAAAGTCCAAAATCAGACAGTGAGCAGAAAAATAACTCCTCCCACTCTGACTCTGGTGGATTTTTCTTTTCTTTTCTTTTTTTTTTTTGTTAGTTCACTGTCCTTTCTTTTCCTTTGAAACTCTTCATGTCAAACATAAAAAGAAGTCACGGTCCAATATCGTTAGCTTCCCGTTCAGGAATATACACTAAAATGTGCATACATGAGCAGCTAGAAACATCACATGACACTACTGTCTGTCAGTTCATATGAAAACGTAGAAAAGTCTTCAAAAATGATGTTTGCACTTTACTCTTTTGTTTTCTTCCTCAAAGCAAGACCCCCCCACCTGCCCCCCCACCCGACCAAAAAAGAAGAAGAAAACTAAGATGTAGAGAAAGGATCTTCAGTTCTTCCTCATCCTAACACCTCAGAACTCAGAATATATAACACTATATAAGTTAGTGCACCAACATAAGGAGCCAGGATCATCAGTGCTCGTGGACCAGTGGATGTGATCCAGTACGTCCAGCCACTGGGGGGCAGCGACCTCCCTCTGCTGCAGGGTTACACTTGGATCCCTTGAACGGCTTGCTTGATGTTTTCCAACAGAGCTTTGTTTTCTGGGCTCTGGTACTGGTCTTGATTTGTGTACATGTCCGTCAGAGTGGTCACGTAGGCGTCAAAGTTCTGCTCACTCAGAGGAGCCTGCCAAAACAAAGAGGTGTGCTTTTAAAGTCACAACTCCAGAGTTCAGAGCAGAGGCGTCACAGTAGGACACAGTCTAAGTTGTGGCTCAAACGGGGTTAACGTTAAATCGACGGTCGGCCGCAGTTAGAGAGAAAAACACAGGCGGAGTCTGACCGCTGCAGTACACAGTACTACAGTATTGTCATTTCTACCACAGACTTGGATCTTAAGACAACCGTACGCATGTCAAGCTCTAGTAGGCCGCGTAAAACCAGCCGCTGGGTCGGATTTGGAATCCTACAAATACTCCCACATGAGAGTCACCACTGATGAGCAGTGGCCCTCAGATGGCCTGCCGCGCCCACATCTGGCCCTCGAGCCGCCACTTTGCATATATACAGTAAATATAGAGTTTTTGGAGGCGACAGGACACATTGATTTGATATGATGAACATTTTTCTGAGCTGAATGTATTTTTAAGGATTCAATAAGGAGGCTTTGGTGCATCACTAAAAATGATTTTGATATATGGAGTGTTTTCTCTCCAGCAGATGGCGTGGTCAACACCGTGTGCAGCAACTGTAGAATCTCAGCTGAGCAGATGATGTCACCATCTTTATAGTGTCATAAATGAAAATGATCTAAATGCCATAATATTCACCAAGAAAGTGTGAAATGGAAACAAATTCATCTTTTTTATTTCATCATTTCATTTGAGGATTTTTTTTTTCCAATTGTCAATGGCTGAAAATCAAAAGAGAAATGTGTGTCCACCCCTCAGAGTACTACAGTACTCCAGTGTACTCCAGCCTTTCTGACTTCCGTCCCTGTGGCCCTAACAGAGGAGGAAGGTCAGAAGACTCAGGAGCGCCACCATGTGACCTACCTGCTGGTGCAGTTGTAGGCAGCTGTTGTTCTGAAGCGGAGGCTCTTTGTGTATCAGTGGTTTCTGTGGAGAGAAGTGACGATTAGTTTGGTCTGGCCCTGAGAAACCACATCCAAACACTAGATGGCAGTATTGGCTACACGGACATACAGCGTGGAGCAGGATTTACAGTCACACTAAAATGTGATTGCTCCAAAACTCAAGGCCCGCGGGGCAAGTGCGGCCCGTCAAGTCATTTTGTGTGGCCCCGTCCGTGCTGCTGAGTTTCTGAACCTGATCAATTAAAATGATTGATTGTTTTTTTTTACAAACTGTAAATGTATAATATTTGTAACTTGAATAAAACCGAATCAATTGACACTGTATTTCTAATGCCCCCCCCCCAGTTAAAATGACTTTGCCCCCCCCCTCCCCTTGGTCCAAACATTTAAACAGTGCAGTTTTAAAACCAAACTAATTCTTGGTGTCTGCAGGAACACAGAGTGAAGTCGTTGTTGTTGTTGTTGTTGTCGTTGTTGTCAGAGATGCTGTGATTGACAACATGCTCAGCCTTATGTTAAAGCTCTTACTACAACAGGCTCCTCTCTGATTGGACGTCTCAGACTACACATGCACAGAGCCTGTGGTCAAACATTACTACAGCGCCACAGTGGGCTATATTCTTGCCAGCTTGCCGATCCTGGGAGCCTTACCATATGAGGGAGCTGGACATTAGCTAAAGTGTTAATCAGTGACCGGCTGAGGTCGGCCAGCTCATGCAGCAGAGATTCATTTTGCTGTTCAATCACCTTGTTTTCCTCCTCCATGGACTTCAGGTTGGACTCCATTGTTGTAATCTGAGGGGGAGGGGACAGGCTGTTAGAGCGGGGGACTGCTGACTCCCAAACAGTGGGCAGAGAGGAGGTGACTCACCTGTGTTCTCAGTTTAATCATGTCTGCTTCCACCTGGGAATTAGATTCACTCAAGTCTTTGATTTCTTCATCCAGCTGTTTGATCTCGTCTTCGTGCTCCAGCCCTGAAGATCAGACAACAACACACACACACACACACACCACCATCATCATCATCATCATAATCATCATCGTCACCATCATCATCATCATCACCATCACCATCCTCATCATCATCATCATCATCGTCACCATCATCATCATCATCATCACTGACACCTGACTGTAGAACATCAGCTCTAACTGACATGAACTGCCTCTAGGTCTAGACTGAAGTCAGTCTAGGTCTAGACTGAAGTCAGTCTACATGACACAGTGTGACCGTGTGTCTCCGACCTCCTCCGCTCCACGGACCGCTGTTCTGGACCACAAGTGTGTGTGTGTGTGTGTGTGTGTGTGTGTGTGAGGTCATCATTTTATCCTGACATATATAACTACAATATATTTTGTATTTTATATTCTGCTCTTTCATTTTAAGACTCTGAAGAATATTTTCTTTTAAATGCAGTTTTCTTTTGGTTTCAGAACTTTCTGCTGACTCATCATCAGGACTTTAGGAGGGAGAGACTTTTTTTCTTCTTTTCAGAATCTAATATCATGCAGACTAACAAACATTTCTGATTCTTTCCTGGACACAGAATGATCCACGGTCCGCTACTGGACCCTGAGCCGGTGGTTGAAGACCTGTGGTCTCACAGACAAACGTCTGGAGTCCCCGACCGTCCAGCAACACTTCATCTCCAGATACACCAACACAGAGGTCAATGACATTTGACCTCTGCTCAGTGAACCTTTCCTCATCACGGACTCCTCGCTGATTGGTGGATGAAGTTACCGTTGCTGGTGCGTTGCTGCTTTATGGTGAGCATTTCCACTCCGGAGAGCCTGGCTTTCCTCATGGCGGAGGTGGCGCGAGGACAACCAGACAGACTGGAGGAAGAAACAAGAAGGAAGAACCGATTGACTCCAGTCTCCACACAGACACACGTCCAAACACTGAGCTGCTGCAGTTTTACTGCTGCTGTTACTGCTGTTACTGCTGTTGCTGCTGCTGTTACTGCTGTTACTGCTGCTGGTACTGCTGCTGTTACTGTTACTGCTGTTACTGCTGTTACTGCTGCTGTTACTGCTGCTGTTGCTGCTGTTACTGCTGCTGCTGTTACTGCTGCTGCTGCTGTTGCTGCTGCTGCTGCTGCTGCTGCTGTTACTGCTGCTGCTGTTGCTGCTGCTGCTGCTGCTGCTGCTGTTACTGCTGCTGCTGTTGCTGCTGTTACTGCTGTTACTGCTGTTAATGCTGCTGTTACTGCTGCTGTTTCTGCTGCTGTTACTGCTGCTGTTACTGTTACTGCTGTTACTGTTACTGCTGTTGCTGTTACTGCTGCTGCTGTTACTGCTGCTACTGTTACTGCTGTTACTGCTGCTGTTTCTGCTGCTGTTACTGCTGCTGTTACTGCTGTTACTGCTGCTGTTGCTGCTGCTGTTATTGCTGCTGTTACTGCTGCTGTTACTGCTGCTGCTGTTGCTGCTGCTGCTGCTGCTGCTGCTGTTACTGCTGTTACTGTTACTGCTGCTGCTGTTACTGCTGCTACTGTTACTGCTGTTACTGCTGCTGCTGTTACTACTGTTACTGCTGTTACTGCTGCTGTTACTGCTGCTGCTGTTGCTGCTGCTGCTGCTGCTGCTGCTGTTACTGCTGTTACTGTTACTGCTGTTACTGCTGCTGGTACTGCTGCTGTTACTGTTACTGCTGTTACTGCTGCTGTTTCTGCTGCTGTTACTGCTGCTGTTACTGCTGTTACTGCTGTTGCTGCTGCTGTTACTGCTGCTGTTACTGCTGCTGCTGCTGCTGTGTGTAAAGGTCAATGACCTGGAGATGCTTCGGCGGTCAGCTGACCACCATCTGCAGACTGTTTGACCCGTCATGTTGCCTGGACTTACCTACGATGTGTCAGGAAGCTGCCGCTGACGTGACCCGAGCCGTCGCAGCCTGGCGTGGGGCAGGACATTCCCTCCGTCTTCCCGGACTTCCACGTGAACTGAATGCCATTTAGATAACCGTCCTTCTGTCTCTTGGCTGCTACGGGACATCCCGACGCACTTCTGTGCGATGCATACTTCCCAGTAACGTGTCCCTGACCGTCACAACCCGGGACTGGACACCTGGTGGACGGTCGGAGAGAAAACAGTTTGATCCATTTTTAAACTGCTCTGATTGGTCGGATCTACAAAGATCATTGATTTAAAAACGTTCCA